CTGACCCAAGCCATGGTATTTTCAATAACCTCATATACAGGATTGAGCAATGTTTTGTCCTGCTGTGCATAAGGTCGCTATGGGTTGGTACCGACTTGATGGCATCTAACAACAACAACAAACATTCATGGTCAGATGTTCCTCATTGATTTTAGATACAAAGTTGAAACAGAGATGTAAGAGATTTTTCAATATCACCTGAATAAATAAAGGAATTGTAAGACACAGACATCTTAATTATTTATACAGATATCCACTTTTTTTTCTGTTTAAAGAACTTTGAGATTTGTATACTATATTTTTAAATATAACCTTTTTAATGCAATAGAAGATACTACAAATGTGTGACTAAATAAACCTCACTGGTCTGTAATCAATTCTGACTCATAGTTACCCCATAGGACAGAGTACAATCCTTTAGAACCCATAGTTAACCATTTAGGACCGAGTAGAATCCTACGGTTTCCAAGACTTTAAATCCGACAGCCACATTGTTCTGCCATGAAGCAGATGATGGTTCAAACCACTGAACATTTGGTTAGCAGCTGAGCACTTTAACTGCTGCACCACCAGGCTCCTTAGTAACTACATAAGAAAGTTTTCATAACTACAATATGTCTAAATTTTACTTATTTAATAAAAACAGCTAATAATTTGTAGTATTAAAAAAATATCATGCAACTTTTGAAATGGAAATTGAGGATTTACAATGGCAATGTCAAGTATCTTGCATAATTTCCCGCCAATTTTATTTTTTCCCAGATGCTTTTCTCATTTTCTCTAGTTTCCAGGAATTTGCTTTTAGAAGATTTCTGTTCTTTTTGCTCATGGCATGAGAAATATTATTTTAATATAAGGGTGGTGATCTTGTCAAGTATTGATCTCCTCTAACATTCACCTTCAGAAAAAACTCCCATAAAGATGGTCAAACCATGAGTGTTTGACAAGCTTTTGAAGAGAACTTCAATCTACAAAAATAAAATGGAATAGGCGTAACTTTCTTACATAAGATAGTGAATGATTTTTTTACAGATCTCATTAAACAAGCTGACAGCTAAATACACATCCATTATAGCTCATTGTTTCTTAAATCATAAAGGTAGCACTTACAGTTAGCTTATACCTGCTGTTTTGAACATCTGATAAGAACTCATAACATAATGAAATGATTGAAAATTAAATAGTACACTCTTCATAGTTTTTAGTCTGCTACTTTAATCACAAAGATACTGAATGTTTGTAATGAAACAACAGCTTGAGGTTGTTGATGAAATCACAAAATTGCTACAATAAAAATTCAGTATATAGCAGCAAACACAGGGAGGAATGAAAGAGTTAAAATGAATAGAGGTAAATACTGTTAACTGATGGTACATGGAGGGGATTGCAATCACTGTAATGAAAAGAAGTATATCTTTGGCGGAATGTAAAACTGATGCTCCGCTCTGTAGATCTTCATTGAATTCACAATGAAAAGTAAAACCAATACGTTCATCATATATATTAAAACTATAGATGCAGGGCACATTTTCAGTCTTATGATATCATCAGTTGGAGAAGAGATGCAGGTTTACTATCACAGAAAGTATCATAATATGAAGTTTGCCTATGAATTTTGAAAATCTATAAATACATATATCCAGCAAATGGATTCATGGTATGGTACTGTGGGTTAAGGTACTAGACTTCAAGGTTGGATTGAACCACAAGGTCAGCAGTTCAAGCTTACTAGCTGCTCCTCAGAAACCCCATGAAGGGTTTCTAAGAATCAGAACCAACTAAACGGCACTTAACAGGATCGGGCAGTGTTTTGTTCTGCTGTGCATAAGGTCACTATGAGTCAGTATTGACTCGATGGTACCTAACAACAACAACAACAACAACAACAATAACTGAAAAAGAACCAAAACAACTTGTAGAAAGGATGAATAAACAAACAACCCACTGTCAAAAGTCAATTCTAATTTAAGGCCACCATATAGAACAGTAAAAATCCAACTCAATGAAAAGTTAAATAACTGAAAATACATAACTGAAGAGAGAATGTGTGAGGTAAGAGATACATCTGAAAACATAAACAATGTAGGATTGTAAAATACAGATCAAAAAGTAAATACGAAAAAGAAGTTAAAAGAATAAAGGTGAATTTGCAAAGCACCTCATAACATGGGTGAACCTTGAAGACATCATGCTAAGTAAAATTAGTCAAGCACAAAAGCACAAAATTGTATGAAACCACTATTGATTTTTCTGGTTAGAGGGCAGATGCATGTTAAGTTGGATGAAGAGAACAATATACAATAAGATGGAGGTTGGCAAAATATGATGAAGGCAGGGGAAAATACTGGGAGGAATGTAAGAGTTAAATGCAACGCAGGCTGCAAGTAAATACTGTGGTGGAACATACAGGGGACAAAGTTATGAAAACGTCTCATACATAACCAAACATCTTGAGGGAATGAGTCATGAAACTGGTGTTTCAGGACCATAGTCTCACAAGACACCAAGATCAACTGACATAACATAGTCCACAAAGACACTGTTCTACATCCTACTTTGGTGAGTAGCAACTGGGTTATCAAAAGCTTGCAATTGACCATTTAAGTGTAACTATTGATCTCTCCCTGTCTAGAGAAAAGAAGAGTGATGACAATTTAAGACAAATGAAAATAACTAGTCCTATAGTCTAATGAATCATGTGATTATCAGTCTACATGACCCTGAAACCAGAAGAACTAAATGGAACCACTTATAATTGCTCTGAAAGGGATCACATTAAAAGGTCCTGTATACAGTGGGAGAAAAATATGAAACAAAACTGGTCTAATAGAAACTGGTGGAACGTCAGGATAATGCACTAGACCACAAGGTTGGCAGTTCAAGCTCACCAGTTGCTCCTCAGAAATCCTATACCAGGTCGCTACAGGTCAGAATTGACTTGCTGGCACTTAACAACAACAACAGTCACTTTTCAGGTCTGGAAATGAACTTATCCCTGTAGCTCAATTTTCAGTCAAAAAATAGGTTTCTAAGGGGAACAATAACACTAGTAAGGTACACACCTTAGAATAATCAGTCATTTGAGATAAAATGGAGAGCATTTATCCAAGGAAAGACTTCAGAAAGGTTAGGAAAGAAGAAGGAATGGAAATAGGAAACAAGGTGAGGGAGTAAGATAAGTGCTGCTACATTGAGGAGATTGCAGTCAATGATACGAAACAAAATGTGTATGAATTGTTGAATATAAAACTGATGATCTGTCCTGAAAGTCTTCTCCAAATTCATGATAAATAGCAAAAAACAAAAAAAGACATAGAAAATAGGATAAGAAGGCCCAATACACGTATAAGTGGAATTGGAAAAACAAAACAGCAAGACAGAGATTGAAATCACATTTAAAGCAATGATATCTAGGAAACTTCCAGAATTGATGAAAATGAGTAATCCTCATGAACTAATTTTTATTCAGACAGGTCACTGAATTCCAAGCAAGATAAATAAAAAGAAAAGCCATATGTATATACTTCATAGCCAAAATGCAGAGCACCAAACACAGAGTTATCTTAAAACAAACAATAAATTCAGTAAGACTAAATCATATAGAACTAAATTTATCTATTTACTACTTATTAACAGAGAAAGTAGGCTAGCATATTGTGTAAATAAGGTTGCCATGGACTTATGTAACATAAATTATATCCGATGGATCTTGGCTGAAAGCAGAGAATACCAGAAG